ATTCTACACATTAGCTAGCTGCTGTTCCTTTTTCCCAATTAGTTTTTTAAACAGAATTTGAAACATTTTAGGTGAAATGTGCCAGAAGCTGTAAATCCTTGCAGAATTACAATTTTTATAGATAATGTTTTACTCTTTTTACTTTTGACACATTTTACTTTACATGTATTCCTAAGATTATTATTTGTCCTTAGCGCCTTCTGATTGACTAACAGAAACACGTTGTTTCGACTGATTTAAAAGAAAATCTAACACAGGATTTGGTGCCACAGACTTGTTAAAAAACAACTGTAATCATTCATGTTATCACATTAAGTTCTACTGCAGAATCAAAATGGAAGAAAAGAATTAACGACTTTAAAAAAAGACAAAAACTCACCATCACAGGTGATTCCWACAGGATGTTGGTCTCTGCCTGCAGGTCCTGAGTTAATTTTACACTCAGATATGTGAGACATGCCGTCTCTGCACTCCAGGCTCAGGATCTCCCCAGCTCCCTTTTTGAACGTGTCTTTGCTGTTTTCCCTCATTTTCTTTCCACACTTCAGCTGTTTGCAGACTTGATTTGAATTGTCGACCATCCAGCTGCTGGTGCTGACTTGTTTCCAGTTGCCCTCGTGGTAGACTTCCAGCCTCCCGGAGCATTTTCCAGGCCCGTCCACCAGCCTCACATCCATGCTTTCTGAGTCACGACAACAAGAAAATACAATTTGTCCAACTTTTGATTCATTTCTGAATAAAATGACAGATGTTTGAAAGATATACCTCACCTGTACAGAACACTTTAGGAACAGAAGAACATGTGGTCTTGCTGTGTTTCGCCCTGCAGTGCCACAGTGAGGCCTCACCACGGTCACACTTCACATGATCCATAATCCCAGGTTCTCTATTTCGACGCAGTATCTTACTATGAGAGAGCATCTAGACAAAAACCAAACAATCTGTTTATTCCCTTAAATCACAAAACAGACAGAAATCAATGCTGCTAATAAAAATACTTTGATGCTGTGAAAAACATATATTTGTTGGAACAAATATTCATTTTTTTTCTTTCTTTTTCAGTTCAATAAACAGTTTGCTGCCACTAATATGTGCCTGTTTGTAAAAAAGTAATTACTTCTTCAATAAAAACCCATAATGTGACACAGGCTGTGTGTTTTCCTTTAAGACTGATCAGGCTTTAAAMTACGTGAATGCTTGTAATTTTTTTCCTGTGTTTTTCTGCATCATGATACATTTGTTGTGCCATTTCACATCAAAACGTGCCTTCAGGACTTTCCGGCTGTGACCTCTGGTATTTCAGCAATTCATTTTTACTTTCTGCAGCCGTGTTTTTCCTCACTGAAAATGAAAGGAGCTGTTTTCAAAATCCTTAAAACCTTCGAAATAGTCATAAATCTTTAACACACTTTTTACCTTTGGTTCTGGTTTTGCTTTTACTTCCAACATCTTTGAGCTCATTTTAAGCTTCCTTTGCCTTCCGTTTGGCTGATTTTAGCTTTTTTTTTTTTTTGCTTTTTTTCTGCTATTCTTCAGCCAATTTCAACTTTTTGTACTTCTTTCAGCTTTTTTCTGCTAATTGTAGTTGTTTGCGGTGTATTTAGCTACTTTTTTTTAGCTAATTTGAGGATATTTTTAAGCCAGATTTAGTGATAATTTCAGCATCTTAATTCAGCAAACGTGTTCTCTGTTTCTATATGTTAACTTCAGCTATTTCAGCTAATTTTTAAAGCAATTTTTAGTCTTGTTTCAGTTTTTTAGGTACTTCTTAAGCATTGCATTTTTGCAGGAAGTGCAAATTCTCTCGTTTCCAATGTTTTTGTCCAACTACATATTCAGAGTATGCCGACATAAAATGTAGAAAACATTTTGTTTTAAATGTTAAAAAGACAAAAGGTGCTAATTGTAAAGTGTGAAATCAAATATTTAAAAATTCATCCTGAATTAAACCAAACTCTGCAGTTTGAAAGTTTGCTCCAGTAGTTTTATAGATATGTTGAATTGCAATTCTGAAATGCGGGTACACACTCAGCGTAAACAAAGCACTCATATCAGGTAAAAAAACCAGGAAGCTTGAGTCATGTGACATACATTAGGCTGGCTGTAAAAGTAAGTTTGACTAGTTTTCAATCATTTCGGCTGATTCTGCGGGTAAACAAACTTTCAGCTGCATTTGGTCACAAATTACGCTCGAAAATTTCTAATTTAAGGATTTAGGATTATTGAAATGAGAAACGTGCAGAATTGTGCAGAATTTGTTTTTTGCTGTGAGAAAAGCTCATCAGAACGAGTGCATTTGTTAGTCTTCGTTATTAAAATATTTGGTCAATTTGACTCACTTTCCCGCACTTTAACTCTTTGCAGATCATTTCAGCTTCCTTCTCCCCCCAGCCAGAGGAACACACTGGAGAGATTGTGCTGTTCACTTTTATATGGACTTCTCCATAACATTTGGTTTCCTTTGTGTTTTCCATCAGCAACACATTGACTCTGTCTGCAGGGGGGGAAAGGACAACATAGCAACATAACTGAAGTGAGAACAGAACAGAAGTCGAGTTGTTTAAAGTAATTTATGAAAGTTACCTGAACATTTGAGATTTTCTGTCATCTGGTTCGTCTGGACAGGAGAGCCACCACAGTGCATCTGCTTGCACCAGTTATCACTATCTGTTGTATTGATTTTAAACGTTTCCCAGGTGCCAGTTTTGAAGCGCTGCAGTTGTCCGGAGCAGACGTTTGACGGTTCTCCTTTGAGCTGCAGTTTCTCATGACCTGTTTGAGTGAACCGATCGTTTGCAGCTGTTCTGTTTTCACCGTGCGACACGTGTCGGTGTGGGTGGACAGTTACCTGTGCAGGAGACAGAGGCAGGATGCTGGCAGGACTGGCCTGAAACGGGACGCACACACTGCCACAGGTTGGTCACATCTTTAATGCCTGAACAGTTCAGCATCATCGTTTCTGATTCGGGAAAATCTTTCTCGATCATCCACTCGGGTTGCAGCATTTTGTCGAACTCTCCGCAGCCTAGGGTTTCACACAACTTCGAGGCGTCTTCATCTCCTTTATTTTAAAGAAATTATATTAAGAAAATAAATCTAACAAACAAAATATAATTCAATTTACTGCTATAATACAAATGCTTCGGCGAGGCAACATGATTCATTATTAATTAATAATAAACATCATAAACAAAAAAAGAAATTAAATTTAATCCCTCAGAAAATTTTTACGTTCTTGGAGCACTGAACAGTTACGTCTTTATTTTACGTTTAAAGTTTATTGGTTTAAATTGAAAACCAAGAAAAGTTGCAGATATTAATTCAGTTCAGCCAAAATAACAGTTTCAAACCAACATTTGTTGCCTCGAGGATCATGTTTGAAATTTCAGAACATTTAATTCTGATGTGCAGAAATAGTTTCACAGTTTTCTTCTTTTTTATTTTATTTTAATTTTTTGCTTAACAAAATCTGAATATTTCTTAAGGTAATACGAAAATTTTTGTTGTATGGCTTTATTGCATCTGGCTTTCACAAACTGTTGTCATTTCTCCTTTGACTCCCTCAGTCTTTAGGCAGAATTGTGATAATTGTTTTGTACATAAAATCAAAGCAACAGATCTACTGTATTTATTCTAATTCTGTATTTAAAGACATTTCAGAGATATTTTTTAATTTAAAATTTAAGCGTGTTGATTTCCAACCTTTAAACTGCTTGAGTTGCTCTATTTATGCAGCAAAATTCACAGAATAATGACTTAAATCTAAACCTGCAGCCTCTGTTCAGACTTCGTTTGTTTAAATCAGTTTTCTGAAGGTCTTAAAATTCAGCTTACAAAGTTGATGAATTTAAAAAAAGTCTCCTGAATGTGAGCTGAAAAGTCGGCTGCTGCAGAGTAAAAGTCCAGCGGCTTTGATTTTTAACTTGAAGAAGTTTTCATGTCCTGGATGACTGAAAATCTACACCCTGCATGTTTTTCCAGAGTTGTAAAGTAACTAAGTACAAATACATTGTTACTGTACTTAAGTAGAAATTTTGGTTATCTGTATTTTATTTTTCAGCCTATTTTTACTTCTACTCTATGGGTGCCGTTTGTAAAGTTCCACAGTCAAAAATTACCACCAACATTTTTGTTT